ATAGACTATACAATTATAACAAATATGCTATTCCAGTGGGGTACGTTGATAATGGGGAAGGATATGCATATGTAGGAGCATGGAAAGCTCTATATCTCTCATGATTTACACACACACACACACACACACACACACACAGTACTTTTGTAAAAAAAAAAAAAAAGGAAATGAGAGCCTGACATGGTAGTATGTGCTTGGGAGAACAGGAGATTGAGGCAAGAGGACCACTTAAACATAGGAGTCTGAGTCCAGCATAACAAACACCATCCCCCTCTACAGACACACATACACACACACAACAGAAAAAGAAGGCAGCATGGTACCCCATCAGAAGTGAATCAATTGAGTTAAGGCTATCAAGGATATTAATCTAAATCAACTCTTTATTCTCATTCCTTCTACCATGCAAAACAGTTTTGGGCTCAGTTAGCTTTACATTATTATACCCATTATTTTGGTGTTGAGACAGTGTCTTACTGCATAGCACAGCTGGGCTGAAATTCATGATCCTTGTGCCTCAGTTTCCCAAGTGCTGGCATTACAGATGTACACCACCATGCCCACCTTAAGTTGTCCTTTAAAGAGTGTCTTTATTTCCTTATATTTTTGTTTGTTCCAATAAGGATAATTCCTAAGTGACTAATATTGGAAATAATAAATCATATCAACTGAAAATTCTTCCAACTTGATAAAAGGCCTAATTACCAAATCTTAGCTATAATAGTGCTGTTGAAAATTTGCTACAGAGACATAATTCTTTAAAGGATAACTCCTCAGAGGTTAAGCTTATGAATTAATACTCTGTAATGAAACACTTCTTTGAGCCAAGTAAGGTCTTAGAGGAGGAGAGGTGAGAATTCTCTTGTTGTTTCTTCCAGACTCCTCATAAAGCTCTAGGCAATATCAAAGGAGACTTCCTGTCCACACAAGCCTTGCCACTGAGGGACAGGGCGTGGGAGGACCAAATGGCAAGTGACAGCTCAGTTGCCTTGGATTAAAGCGCACATATTTTAGAGATGGTGCATTTGATTATGTCAAATAGACCCATGGCACTTTCTGTAGCAGAAAGACACTGCAGCCAGGTAAAAAGGTCAGTAAGATTATATTCACAGGGTAAAAGTCTTCCAGGATGGAAGTCTTTGAAAATACTTTTATTTAAATGACCTGAGGTCTTGTTATAACAAAAGTACACAATCACCGCCAATGTTCTGGGGAACAGAAATCTTTACAGACTAAAGCCGTGCCATCCAGCAGACGTTTTGCTGATGATGAGCAGGCTGGCTGTCTCTGCTATCCAAATGGAAGCCAGTTACAGATACATGATGATACAGCATTTGAAATAGGCTAGTGCACATGAAGAACTGAATTTTAATTTCAATTAGTTTAAATAAAAATAGCCACATGTGATTAGTAGTCACATAATACAGGAAAAGGTTCAGAGCATGGTTTGAGAAAATGACTCAAGATGCTATCACAAAAATGCATAAAACATACTGATCACTTGGGAAAATACTTTCTCAGTATCTTCCCATAACAAACACACACAATTTGCTATCACTATATCAGAAATCATTATAAAGTAATAGTTCTCCAATTTCAGCACCTATCAGAAATGCCTAGGGATCGTGATAAAACACAAATTTTTACGCAGTTATTACTGAGATTCTGATGCAGTAGGTCTGTAAATTTCTAACAAACACCCAGTAATTCTGATGCTATTATTCCAAGGAGTGTACTTTTTCTACTGGACTAGAATAAAACTTCAGCCGCAAACATAAGCCTACTCCTACCAAAGCAAAGCTTCTCTCACTTGCCACCTTTCCACACAGAATGTCTCTTTCTCCAAGGCACGCAGAATCCTCAAGTATGGTTACAAGTTTTACTTAACACAGTGGATTATTAGTACGTGGCAGAATGCAAATAAACAAGGTTATTTATAATGTTTTCTCCACATCTTAGATCCCAGCTACAGTCCAGCCAATGCAAATTTTGTAAGCAGGGCTAATAATCACTGGGACCAGAATCTCAGGAGGAAGAACTCAAACCCGCCGGGACAGTTTGCATCTAATCCCTTCACCATCCCTTTCAGAGTTGAGTTGAGCCTCTCTATTAAAATAACATAGATTACCTCAGGTCTAGGTCATAGTCATAACCTTCACCATTTCAATATGTAGTACTGGAAGAATAGTGAAGAAAAAAAGGGAGGCAAGGAGATATAGCTCAGGGGTCTAAGCACCTGCCTGGCAAGTGCAGGGACCCGGGTTTGATCCCCAGTACCACATGCCATGCCAGCCCCACACCAAGCCAGCCACCAAAACCTGGCATGGTGGCACACGCCTGTAATCCCAGCACTGGGGAGGCTAAGATGGGAGGATCACTCCAAATCTGAGCTGCATAGTGAAACCCTGTACCAAATAAATAAAAGATCAAAAGAAAAAAAATTAAACCACCACATTAAAGGCACTTTATTTTCCACTCTAAGAGCGCATATTGAAGATAAACCACTCTCACATTCCCAAAGAAAGGAAAAAATCATAAGGGTTCTGTAATCAATGCATGTTTTCTAATCATTCTCTGGTCTTTCTTTTACGATTTATAAAAATTTGTCTAGATCAGCAGTTATTTGGGAAGATATTTTTCTTTCAGTGATTACTCCTTTATGTTTTTTGTTTTAACAATGCATGACTCACTTTAAGATTGAGAGATCATCCTGTCAAATGTGGTTTGCTTGACTGCTCCTCTGAACAGCCTTCCATCTGCCTCATCCATTCTTCCTTTTAACTTTAGGAAGGCAAGCCTTAATCTACAGTATACAGTTACAGTGAACCAGAAACCTTCAAAATGAACTCAGATTCAAGTCCTATTTATTATTTCCCTCACTACTAACCCTTTGCCCTTTCTCAAATTCCCACTGTTCCCAATTACTACCACTGCAGGAATAGGAGTAATTATCCAGCCCTGCAAATTTTGGGAGACCATTACTGGAGACATTTATGGCATCTCCAAGTGGTCACACAGTATTACAGACGTTACCTCCTTGGGTTATTGATTTATTAAGAAATGTCTGTGTTACATGTAGGAAAACTTAAGGTAGGAATGAGGGTAAATGATTACAATAAAGTCCTGGAGAAACTCAGAGAAAGATAAAATCACTGTACTCCTTCAACTATGGTCACCAACCAGGGGCAACTTGGTCTCCAAGGAAACATTCAGCAATGTCTGGAGATATTTTTGATAGCTATAATTGTTGTGGGAGGTAGGAACATCTAAGGGTAGAGGCTAGGAACAATGCTAAACATCCTAGAAGGCACAGGACAACCTACGCAATTACCTGATTCAAAATATTTCCAACACTGAGAAACCCTGATACACTGGCATCTCTAGCACTATTTTCTTTTGACCTTATCAATAAGGAATGGTTTCCTCTCTACTGTAATTTGGTCTCTATGTAATTATTTATATACAAAAATGCAAGTAAAGTCTATTTCTTGCATGATGTACTTTTTATTTTTGAAATTGAAGACATAGGGGGCTAGAGAGGAAACTGAGAGAAGCCAGCAAAACCCAAGTCGTTTCTTATAATAAGAAAAACTAGCAAAGACCAACTCCTCTCATTTGCAACCTTCAGACCCCAAGGGATGGTCTGCACTGGGCTGGCTGCTCACCTGGACTACGCCTGCAGCTGCCTCTGCCTGTTTTGCTTCTCCTCAAGCATGTACATCACTGCAGAGCAATAAAGATGTATATTTATGGGAATCTCCAGAGATCTTCAGCCCTTAATTGTCTATTTTGTCCAGTAAATTGTACTCATTACTGAGCCACATGAGGCACCTAAGTACATCAATCTTTCTGGGTGCCCTCTGTCTGAGCTAGGGTAATGGGGCATTATCTAGGAAGGGCTCCACAGTATTGAACTTGGCCACTTAAACCACTTCCATCCAGCATTTCAGCAGTGTACTTTTTTCTTAAACACATGCCCCTCTTTCTTAATCTTCCTTACTTCTGCTTACATTAACATTAACCTTGATTTTTCTCTTTAAGGGGTCTAGCTTAATCTCTGTAAGTTGAAAAGAACTGATGTCCACTCCACCTCTCCTTTTCAGCCCCCCACCTGCATTCTGAGAAGGGTGCACAGACAGTAAATTTCTCCTGGTGGTGTTGAAAATCTTAGGCACAAACACAAACTCAAAGGTAGCTTTGGAATGCTCCCAGCACTTACAGTTTCTACACACAGATGGGGAGTGAATAGGCATATGACTTCCTGTGACGCTGGATGAAATAAAATGGAAAGGGTTGAGCCACACACTTTGTTATTGCTCTTATCCACCAAGCCAGGCAACTTCAAAATACCTCGTCAAGGAATTTTCCTCATTTAAATAAGTGATTAGTAAAGGAAAAGTTGAGTCATCTATCCCTGATCCTGCCATGCGGGCCCCTCCCCTAGGGTGTGCTGAGACAGCAATTGAGACTGGGCATGGTGGCGTGCACCTGTAATCCCAGCTCTTGGGAGGCTGTAAACAGGCGAATCACTAGGAGTCCGATTTAGTACTGAGACCCTGAACACCCTGTGGACCCTTCCCTAAAATACAGAAAAAATAAATAAATAAATAAATAAAAAGAGTCATCCATGGAGGAGGGAAACAGTGAGAAAGAAAAACAGGAGGCAGCAAGGCTAACAATATGATATGACCTCAATAAAAAGGCAAGCAGGTCCCAGTGCTTTCACAGTGCAGTTGCACAAGGCCCAACAACATTTTCCATATGAATTATATCCTTTGCAAATTCATTACAATTCCTTAGTGAAGCTATTTCCATGCATAGAATCCACCCCATCACCTTCATTACAGCTTTCTTTGTACTCGCTAATTTACATGGGATCTATGAGCCAAATCAGTAAACCTTTGGGAGCCTTGAACAGACTGGGCATCCCATTTTACTGACTCCAAGAGGCCGGTGAGACAAAGCCAGAAAAACAGTGGCAGGGAATGCCTTCGCCTTACCCTGGAGTCGAGGGTGTGGAAGCCTTCCCATGCACTTACATCCTCGTCACCCATCAGCTCCGTTGCTGTGTGCCTCTCCCTCACCTCTGCATGCTGGACCACAACTGCTCAATCACCAACTGCCAAAAACAAAAAGATGAATGCTTTAGGCTAAGGGACTTAGAACTTCAAGGCTCAAGCCACTGTTTAAGTTAATTTGTTAGACTAGACAAAGTGCTTAATACAGAGACCCAAACTTCTATAACGGCTCAAGCTGGACAACAGTTCATTTCTGGCTCCTGAATGTACACCAGACAGGTGGAAGGTCCGTCAGTGGGGTTGCCCTGATGCCACATTCTGCATCTTTAAAACTAATCTTTAAGGTTTCCTTAGGGATCCTTTCCACTCCAGCCATCTGGAAATGGAATACAGCATGAAGGAACTTGCCTGGGTGGGGTGTGTGTGCACGCTCCGGCATGTGCACTTTTTCTCCCAAAAGTGGCCCACAACATTTTCTCGCTTCCTGTCACATGCCGTTGGCAGGCTAAAACACAATCATATAACCACAACTGTCCCATGGGATTGCCAGCTAGCACTCTTGATAAGGCTGACTTCTGCCAGCCCAACCAAGAAGACAGCATTAGGTTTAGAGTAGGGAATCCTGGGTGACAGATCAGCAAATAATCATGACTTTGTTACTGAACAACCCTGAGTCTCAATCTCCACATCTATAAAATGCCCTGCTTCCCTCATAAAGCTAACATAAGACTCAAAATGAAGCAAGAGAAGTATTTCTTTGCTTCATTTTGACTCTTATGTTGAGCTTATGAGGGAGGCAGGTGCAAGTATATCTTCTAAGCATCTTGATAAAATGCAGATTCTGACTTATAGTTTGGGAGAGGCCTGAGGTTCTGTGTTTTTAATATGCTTCCAGGCCTTATGTGTGGTGTGGGCCTGCGATCCAACTGAGTGGAAAAAGAGATCAGAGATTAGAGAAAATTTTTATAAACTTTACACAGTTATCTGAAGATAGAAACAACTTGTATATTAGCACTAACTTTTTTTTTTTTTGTAAAGGAATCACAACTTATTTTAAAAGAATTGACTTGGTTTTTGAAAGAACTTAAAAGACTAATCACAATTTATCATGACCCATACACCTGCACCATATTTTCCATTCCTCACAGCACATTTATTTCAATAATTCTGTCATGTTGGTTCTTAGCATGAGCACAGTGTTATACAATTTTTGTACATATAATCACATCCAAAACAAGTTCTAAAATTTAAATTGTAAACATTCTCATCATATGTAGAAATACTTTATTTTATCTTATTTTTATTTTTTGGCAGAACCAGAGATTGAACTCAGGCCCTTGCACTTGCCAAGGAAGCACTTATTCCACTGAGCCATCTCTCTGGCCCCACTGACTTTTTTTTTGTAGAAACATTTTAATTGGTGTATTAAGTTTAGCTAACTGATCGAAAGCACTAACTCTGATTACAAACAAGTTCCCAACCAGCCAGCATTTTAAAAATACAGTCAAGATACCACATAGAATTTCATAGGGTTATAAGATTTTGGTGCAAAAAAGAATTTAAGTGGTCACTATTTTCTTTTCTAATTTTTAGACAAAGAAATAAACTCAAGAGTAGTAGATCGTGCCACTTCCCTCCCAACTTTCACAATAATTTAACAATATTCTGGGACTAACCTCTAGAAATTTAACATTACATGAATTCATTCAATAACCTTATAAAGAAGATAATTTTATTCTTCTGCTAAAACAGAAGAGATATTACTATAGTTCTAATGGCACCAAATCATACCTACCAGCATTGGTCATTGCCACACCAACTATAGGCAACGTATCAAAAAACACTAATCAAGAGATATTTCAAGTACCCGTCCTTTATAATGCAATGAATCTCCTCCAAAGTTATTTTTCATATGTCAGAAATAAGAATGGAACACAAAATAACTTCTAAATGTCTTCTGGCAAAAGCAAGAAGTTTTACTTCCAATATATACAAACTCTGAGTCACTCCTACTTAAGGATAATTGTAAAAAAGAGAAAACTTGGAATTACAAACAGTGAAGGGAAACAAATGATTAGTCAAGAAGACACAACAGTTTCCCATAGTACACCTTTATTACTTTACAAATAAAGTAACCTAAAGAATTTCTTTAAATCCTTAGTATGTAAATTATTTTGTATCTCTGAGATCACAGTGGTCCTAAGTGTTTATAGTAGAACATGAGATGTAGCACAGCAGAAGCAAAACTCCAAGTCATAAATCAGAAAGCAATGGATATATGGAAATAAAATTAAGAGTGTGGGAGATGGGAGCCTTTTAGTATGTACTCATCACCGATAAAATAAAGCGAAAGTTCTAGTGGAATTAGGAAAGTACTTACTGAGCAAGGAACAATAAATGGAAATCAATGCATACATATACATTATTTAAAATGGCTAACATGCTATTCTTAGTCTCTTAGTTTGGTAAGCAATTTTAAACATTTTAATGAAGGTAAAATGTTCCTAAGAACTTTCAAAGGCATATGTCTATACTCTGTCCTCAAACCTACCATGATGTCATTAGTTCCTCAATCAAGAATTTTCTCATCTTGACAATTTTCCAGAACCTGACCTAGAATTCTTCCCTTATTTTTATGCCACAGACTCCTCTGGTAGGCTACTGAAGCCTAAGGACCCAATCAAGCGTTAATGTATAAAAGATAAAATAGGTAAAATTATAAGGGAAATAAATTATATGCAAATTCCGATCCAGACTCAGGGAGTCTATGGACCCAATGTAAGAATATCTGATTGGGAAATGACTATTTTAGGATGATAAAAATTTTTCTTACAAACAACAGAATGAAGAAAAGTTTTTAACACTCAGAGATACACACTAAAGAACCCTGCTCAAGGTCAGTCAGTGAAGAAAACAGCTGCAAAGAAAAGTTGGACTACACTAAAGCTATTCATGCTGTGGCTATAAAAGCCGACATCAAGGAATTCCTCAGAGAACTTTCTTGGCCCAGCCCCGTAGGCACAGCATTTCCTGTGCCCTGATGGCAGGTGAAGGAGTCAACACGGGTGAAGAAAAGACTACTCTGAGTCCGGAGTTTGAGTCCTTGCCTTTCAATGAATTCTCTACCACTAAGCAACTCTATTAGCTTGGCTAAACCACTCAGCAGTGAGTCAAAACTCCCTAAAAGGGCCGGCAAGATAGCTCAGCAGACTAAGCACCTGCTTAGGCAAACACAGGGACTGGGGTTTGATCCCTGACACCACATGCCACACCAGCCAGCCACTGAGACTGGGCATGGTGGCACACACCTGTAATCCCAGCACTGGGGAGGCTGAAAACAGAAAGATCACTATGAGTCCCAGCTGCATTGTGAGACCCTGTACCAAATACATAAAAAAAAAAACCTTCTGAAAAAGTGAGGTTTAATTAGGCCATCTGTAGAATTTCTTCTAACCCTGAACTATTAGTATCTTAAGACAATGCACAAGTATTTCTCTGGAAATACATTTAGCAAGATTTCTTTCTACCCTGAGTTCACAATATGAAAATAGCTTCTAAATGAGAATTTTCCTGAGACTTCAGGCATGCTTTATGAGGATCACCTGGCCATAGAACTACGGACCTGAGAAGAATTTTAAAACACACTAATCTTGCCAAACCCAGTAAACAGGTGAGAAAAATGAGCATTAGAAAGGTAAAGGGATTTATTTGTGGTCCCATAATAAGGCAATGTTAATGGACTATTGTGACTGACAGTCTAGCACCCGTGCAAGTTTAGGACTTGGCACAGGTTCTAAAACCTAGCTCATTTGTTCACTTGCGAGAGACAAGAATAAGCCTCAAATGAGCTAAACCATGAGATGCAACCGCACATGGAGAGATGGCATCCAGAGGCCACAGTACACTGCATCTCAAACATGGTCACAGCTGAAGCCTTCTATGATCTACCCACTACTGACAAAAGTACCCACCTCCTTCAAATCTTATGTCCACATCCATCTCAAAGAATTGTCCAGACTAGTCAAAGAAACACTAGAAACACTAGTTAAAATTTTGACCTATTCTCTATGGTTATCTCTGGAGATGGTAGTTAATCAACATTATTTGTGTTAGTACTCTTACTGCTATTTTTAGAAAGCCCAACTATTGATACTAATCAGATTTTAAAGTCACTTGTGTTTATTTTCATGGCTCTAACCACGTGTAGAGTAGCTTTATAGGCCAGTTGCTAGAAACAATGGAAGTTGTTGGGAAAACTGAACAAATTATAGTAACACCTCATATTTAGTTAACCAACCACATGTTTTCCAAATATCTTTAAATATTATGCTGACACTTGCCAGTATACTGCCTCCTCCCCTCAGAAACATACATGCAAAGTAACTGCAATCGCATCTCATTCTCCACAATGCACATTATTCCTGCCTTACATAGTTATGTCTATCTACACTATTTTCTTTGAGATTCTCTTGGACAGCTGACACAGTCTTCAAAACTTTGAGACTAGAGGCTCGACACCGCCAGTTTGAGGGCTACGAGGAGCAGTTCCTCAAGGAATTCCCAGGGACAGCAGCGCCATCTACTGGTAGGGAGGGTACAATTTGTTTTGGGAAGCCTGCAGAGGACAGGTGCCCAGGACCTCAAAGAATGCTAACCCAGATTTGTGCCTTTGTGAGGCTTTCTTTTCCAGAGCACATTATAACCTAACTGAAGCATACAGCCTGAGTCAGGCAGCTTCCACAGCAGCCTCCTCACAAGAACTGCAGGTCCTCTGGTAGCCATAAAAAGCCCAGTTAGGTTAGCCAATAATGAAGCAGCACTGCCTGGAAATGCCACCTTGAGGCTCCAAAGGCAAGCAGCACAGACACTGAATTAAACATTTCCTGGCTCTCCTTTTCCCCAGTGCTTCCTATCAGATTATCTCACCCAGTGTCCCCACCTGTGGCAGTGCCGCTCAGTTTTATCTTCTACCACACACCAAACGGTAAGGAAGGTGCTCTGACGTCTTTCAGGGAAGGCTCTTAGATTTACACAATGTGACACAGATCCTCCTCAAAGGACATGACTGCTGAGCCATACAGGTTGGCTTCTAATCTCTCTCATCTTCCCTGTCCCTGACCCAGGGGACAGAAATGACAGAGAGGAAATGATTTTGCTGCTGCCTTGAGAACAAAACTACTGAGCTTTTATTGAATCAAAGGATAAAACCTAGTCCTATGGGTCACTGAGATACCTTTCATCAAGTTGATCTAAGTGTGCCAATTATCCAGTTGGTCCACATCACCTAATTCTTGTTTCTCAACCTTTTCAGACCCCCTACTTCCCTGCCACAGCCTAAACAAACAGTACAAGCCTTCTGTGTAGTTTATAAACAAGATTACAATTTTTCTCTAAAAGTAATAAATTGTGCCACCTACCACACCCTCAAAATCCTTTCTTCCTCACTACCTACCAGTTCAAAAAAATAATCACTGATAAAATTTGAACTTATTCCCATTAATTTGTGTTCCCATCTATTGGGTGACAACTGGTATTTCACTTTGCTAGGGTTATTTGTGACATTCCCAGTGGGCTTCACAGCAACTTCTTTTACTTTCTTCATCTCAGAAAACCACCCAAGCTGACTCACTACTGCTGACAAACCTGAATTTGAGTTCCCCTAACAAGTATTACCTCCAAAAAAAAAAAGAACTTCGCTCGTAAAATGATTTCTCAGTGAATGTAGACATTTCACAGATATGGAGTGTGTTTTAGACATCCGAATATCAGATTGTTTCCTAAAGAAACACAACTTACAATATAGGGAACAGAGTACTACATGAGCTTTGAAGCGCTACCAGGGTATCTCCCAGTCAAGTAGAGATTCTTGTTCATTTCATACAGATAAGTTCTGCAAGAATTACAGTGACACTCCAAATATAATAAAGTCTTCATAATCACCATTGGGTGAACCATTTCTTAATGAGCAGATTTCCAGGTACCTCCACCAAATTAACCAAGAGAAAACCGGAGGGATTGTTTGTGACACTAAAGATGTACGGTATGCCCTGGCTGTTCTGGACCTGGAGAAATGGAGGTAAGGCATGAGGCATCTCGCCCAGTTTAATCAGCTCTTAAACTCCTGGACACACCCTCCCCCTTTTAAAGTATGCTTTAAAGAAGACACTCGCCGCCCCCCCACACATACACCCCACTCTACTGACAACCAAATGGTCTTTTTAAAACACACTTTCCAAGGAATTAAGGAGGTCTAAATAGGTTCAACTTAGACCGCGCCTTCCCTCTCCCTACAGCCCATTAACATGTTGAAAATAAGCACCCACTCCGGCAGCCCTAGAAATTACCACCCTCCCCCTTATCTTCTTGAAGAATTCCAGTGTGATGGTCTAGTCTGCAGTTCACTGCAGGCATTTCCCTCCTCACCATTTACCAGCCATCAGTCGCGCTCTACAGTAGCTGGAAAATTTTTTGCAGCCTGTGATTGAGACCTGCTCCACCGGTGCCGAACTGTTTTAAAAAAAAAAAAAAAAAAAATTTTTTTTTTCTTTCTTGAGCCTCTGAACGGATCTCTGGCTTCCTCCAGCAGACTTGGAGCGCTAGGTTTCGGCGAACTCTGGGGCGAGCGCGGCGCGCGGGGCCGGCGGGCAGGGCAGCTCCTCCGGCGGCCGGGTCCCCACGACGCCCCCACTGGCGCACCGAGGCAGGAGGACTCCCCACACAGCTGCGTTCGGAATTCGGCTCCGCTCGCAGCCGCCGGATTAATTCGGAGCCCAGGGCTTCGGCAGAAGTGACACCACGCTTCCCCCTTCGCCCCCGTCACGGGTCCCGCCGCGCGGAGCCGCCTCCCCCAGCCCAGGTCCAGAGCCAGCCGCCGCTCCCGCCCCGCCGCCACCTGGGGAGGGGGCCGCGGGCAGCTTCCCCTCCCGCAGGGAGACAAAGGCAGAGGCCGGGCTGCCAGGTGGGCAAATCCGTCACCGCGGTGGCGAGGATGGGGGTGCATCCGCTGGCACGAAAGGGGAAACCGAGGCAAAGAGGGGGCAGCTGGGCTGAGCTGCAACCTCCCCAGAGCGGGGCCCCTGGGGCAGGCCAGACCTACCCTCGCCCAGCCCTGTCCATCCTGCTTGCCAGGGTTGGTTCAGGAGGGGCTGAGGACGCACCCGAGGATCGCTTACCTCAAGAGAAGCGCTCCGGCTCCCTCCGACGGCTCCGGAGAAAACCTCGCCGCTCGCGCACGCGCACTCGCGCTCCTTAGCCCCGCCAGCCCCCGCGCGCGCCCCTCCGACTGGGCTCTGGCCCGCCCCGGCCCTGTCCGTCAGCGTCCGCGAGAGCCAATCCGGTCTCACAGAATGCCCAGCGCCGGTCACGTGGCCATTCAAGCCAATCATCAAATTGCCCTCGGCAGCGCCCGCTCCGATGTCCCTGGGGGTTCGGTTGCTACCGAGCTGCGCGGGTGCAAGACTGGCACAAAGGGCTGAGTCTCTGTTTTCTGGGGAAAGTGGCGCTAAATTGGTCAATTACTGCATCGACTGATTTCTCAAATAATAGTTGAAATAAGAATGACCTGGGCATCTTTTACAATACGGATTCTGAGCCAAAAAGTCTGGGGTGGGGCCCTGAGAGTCTGAATTTCAAACATACCCAGGTAGTGATGCTGGTTTGATCTGAGGTCGAGGCTTTGAGAAGTACCTGTAGGAAAATAATGGCGATAGACCATGTTACATAACACTTGAAAGTTTTGCGACCTCTTTTGTCCTTCCCCCAGTAATGGAAAGCATTCTAGTGACTGACTAAACATGGAGTGCCCTGATGGCGCCAGCAAGTTGCGCACCTGCTGAGGGAAAGCGTGTTTAATTTCCACAAAACATACCCATCGGTGATGGAAAAGCAACCTGTGCCAACCTGGTGTGTGGAAAATACGAGCAGGGATAGATTGCTCCTTGAAGAGAACTCTAGGTCTACATGCATCCTGAGGTGTTGGGCCTGTGTCCAGGTAACACTTTACCAGGCTCTCAGCCAGAAAACAGAAGCCTTATAAATAGTCCCTGCTTTCTGAAAATTTGACAGTCCATTATAGATCTGCACAGGCAAGTTCAGAATGAAACATGTAGAAGAACATACAGGGAGCCAACAGCAGACCACATCAGTGGACCCAGACAAATCAGGTGGTAAAATAATCTACCTGGTGGGGGAGGGGGCTACAACCTTATCCAAATATTCTCTTGTCCCTACTTCTGACCTCAGGAAACCAAGAGCCTCTACTGTCTCTCAAACTTGACGAAAAGTCAATGTTGTCAGACTGAGTAGGGAGAACGTTTGTTGGTCTGCATACCAAGCTTACTACCCAATAGTGTCTCCAGATTGTTGGAGGGGGCTAAGAGATAAATTCTCCAAACCTTCTTCCACCAGCTCTGCAGGCCAGTGGTATGACACTGCCTCAGCCAGGGATATCTCACTCTTTGTCAAGGCAATCAAACTGCCTCTTAGAGGTAAATTCGTTGATAAATTCTGGATTTTTGATTTTTCGGATCAGGAATTGAGGCCCACTTATCAACCTCAGACATTGCTCATCCTGTTGTCCCTTATAGGTGATGACATTATACAAAATTCAGTTTCAGGGAGTACATTAAGTTTAGCATAAACATGGTTCTGGCTACAATAGGAGTGAAGAAATTCCTAACGTTAAACCAGAGGTTTTTGGCCATGGAGATAGCCCAGAGGTCTAAGCACCTGCCTGGCAAGCACAAAAACTGGGGTTGATCCCTGGTACCACATGCCATGCTGGACTCTTACTGAGCTGGCCACTGAAACTGGGTGTGGTGGTGAATGCCTGTAGTCCCCACACTTGGGAGGCTGAGACAGGAGAATCACAAGTCTGACTGCATAGTGAAACCCTGTACAAAATAAATAACTAAATAAATTTAAAAATTTAAACCAGAGGTTTTCTACTCTGGCTGAAATCCCTATCCTACTCTGGCCGTACATTGCTTAGGGAAATAAATCAAGAGCTCTGACCTAGTGATTCTGATTGGGAGGAGGGACTACTGTAAGTTTGACAAGTTGTACAGGTGATTAGATACCTGGTAGTGGCTTAGACTATCCAAATAAGCTGCTATATTGATGGATTCCTTCATTAGCATGGTAAAAATCAACTCTGCAACACATCACTAATGACATAAACAGTGCAAATAGGAGAAAGATTTCACATCATTTTTAAAAGGCCAAAAATAATTCATAGGTAATAAATACTCCAAAGACTATTCAGCAGAATGAGTGGAAAAGCTAGGTTCACAAGTAGGTTTAATTTCAATGCATTAACAAAATGTTTCAGAATCTATTTCTTCACTTCATTTGTGCTCTTACAAATTATACATGAACAGTAAGAGTTATTTTCTGAGGCTTTTTTTCAAAGTATGCCACAGAATTTCCTGGGAGTACTTGTTAAACGCAGATTATAGGACCAAAGCCAGAACCTTCTACAGCTACCATTTTTTAGTAAAAATTCTGAATCAGTACTGGTTAAATCTTTGAGTCAGAGAGGTACGACCTGGTATAGAACATCTATATACAAGCAACTCCTCTAGTAAAATAGTTGTTATTATTTTATTTTGTCATGCTAACTAAGTAAAGGAGTTGAGCCTATTTTAAAGTACTCCACCATTCTCAATCCTCTTTACTGGAGTTTTTACCAAATTCTGTTACTATGTAAAAAATAACATTTTGTATCTAACAGGGAGTTTCTATTGAGTGATAATTGATGTGTTGGGGCAGACTTACTTTAATTGAATTGCTGAGCTCTTCTCGAAAGTGACTCTGAAACACCAGAAATATGGAAGACTTATGTGTGAGGTTATAATCGATCTTTCCTCCTCAGCCACTTTTAAAAATACATTTCACAGCAACCAAATGGGGGAGAAATTTTTCTCACCTTGCAAACTTGTAGCATTATCCATTGAATGGATAATGAATCCTGTAAAATTTTAACATGAGAAAAGCATTTATTTTTCTCCTTGTAGGTATCATCATGACAGAGATGTAGGAAGCAAAGAGGTTCTTGCTTAAAGATGTGAACTGGAAAAAAAAATGAACATCTAGACTGTCATTCATTCTGTTTCTCAGCTTGCTTGCTTTATATACATAACCTGGCAATCCTATCTTAAGAAATAGATATGTTAGGATCTAATATGAGTTAGCTCAAGCAATGTCTTTTTCCCCAGAAAAATTGCTCATCAAGAGATTTAAGAATATTTGAAAAGAAAAGTGATAAGGTATAAACCATTTCATCATTTTGTCAATTCCCAGAAATCTACCATTGCTCCACTATAAACAGAACCCCCGTAGAGTGCTTTATAATCACTAATTGCATTTTTATCTCCCTATCAATAGATAGCTTCCCTAAATTTAATTGATCTCATTCATAAAGACCTACAGATTCCCAAGATTCTAGTCTTCATCTGTCATATAAATCCAGCCAGGACAACATTTTATATCTAAGTATTTATATTATAATAACTTGTATTTTTTTCCATTTAATGTGACTGTGTACAGATTTAATGTAACACACTAGGCATTTTGTAGAAAAATTGGTTATCTTACGTTTTTTACAGCTGGTGTAAAGAATGTAAACATTCTCTTCGATATTTTGTTAACATATTGTAGATGTGTTAAATACATGCAAATAATATGAAGTGTCCTTCTACCTGTTTCAACTTAAGGAATATAGCATTGTAGAGTTGGAGCCTCCATGTTCCTCTCCCAACAAGTGGATTTGTTAGATGAAAGTTTCAGGCTTAGCCATGAAAGAAAAGGAAGTTTATGGAAGGGAACATTGTATTGCATGCTTGTAATAAACACAAGTGTAAATAGGCAAAATTCTTATGGAGTAAAACATTTGGAAGTTCCAAACTCATATAAAAAAACCAAAAAACAGAGACAACTAAAATGCCATCTAATACAACATCTACCAGTATTTTTTAGTTACAAATGTGGACCCAGAAAGCAGGTAATTTTTAGGAAAATAATACAGTAATAAGAAATAGACATGAGGTAAAAATAATTAGGTCTCATTTATCCAATAAATATATACTAGATAGATGTAAGCTATTACAAATCAAAATAGTTGTATAAGTGAGATATGTAGCACTCTAAGAAAGCACATGGAGGGAGTACTAATTCTGAACCAAATCAGAGAAGACTTTCTATAAGTGATGCCTAAACTGAATTGCAAAGAACTTAAGGGTTAGCCAGCTGTCTCATTTATTCTCCTCTCATTGCTGGGACAAATACATGATACCCAAAATAAGAAAGGAAAGGTTTATTTAGCTCACATTTGCTCGAGGTTTCAGTCCATACTCAGCTGGCTCCAAGGTCAGAGTGGCACATGGTATTGAACAACCTTTCATGGTTGGGCAAAGAGTAGGAGCAAAATTGAGAAGTAGCAGCAACAATAGCAACAGAGAGGAAGTCTGTCTCCCGTAAGTTGCATTCAAGCTATGTTCCCCAGGCTGGGTGTAGAATTCACACCCATAATCCCAGTGGATCATGAGTTAATCACAAACTCTAGAAGTCTGCTCCATGACTGCGTGAGGCTTTGGGGGGACAACTAGACACAAACCATAACACCAGCTCTTATGAACTGAACGTTTGTATTCCCCACAATGCATACATAGAAACTCTATAAACTTCCCCAATGTGATAGTATTAGAATGTAGTCTTTGAGAGAGAATTAGTGTTAAATAAGATTGAGATTTTGAGTCTGAGGTCCAGTAATGGTCTTGCTGACCACATGAAAGTCATCAGAAGCTTACTTCTAATCTTCATCATCTGCTACGTGATGATACAAGAAGTAGATAGTCTGAAATCCAGAAGAGGACTTCCATGAGAACTTGTTCTGATACCCTGACTTCTAGCCTCTAGCCCTGTAAGAAATCAATTTCTGTTGTTCATAAACCATCAATCTATGGTATTTTGTAATGACAACCTAAGGACTAAGACGTTAGAAAGGAGCAAAAGAAAGAATGTTCTAGGGCTATGAAATAGTCCATGCAAAAGCACAAGAGCATAGAGCATTGGGAAAAGAAAGCAGTTTAATTTGATCAGATGATAGAGGGAAATGGGGAGAATGATGATTTTAAACATGAATCATGCTGGGTATAATCCCAGCACTCTAGGGAGCTAAAACAGGAGATCACAAGTCTGAAGCCAGCCTAGGAAACTTAGTGACTTAGTAAGAACCTGTCTCAGTAAG